AGCGAGAGATGGGGATCCAGGCACGGGAGGCAGACCCGCTGGGCGCCAGCAAGTAAGGCCACCGAGCAAGGACTTCTCCTCCTCCTGTAGGTTACGCCTAGGACGGAGGATGACTTGCCGGTCTTCCCGGTATGGATCACGGAGCCCGCACTAGAATATTCCCCCCCTCAGCCATGCGACGAGCGGATACGCGAGTGGGCATCTGAGGGCAGATGCCGTGAAGAAGTCGCCGGAGACAGAAGGAGTCTGAGGGATAGTGGCTGTGGACCGGTACATGGTAATGGTAGTAAGGAGCAGGCGATCCTCGATGCGGAACCACGTGCGTGCGACGGGGAAGCTAGATGAGGAAAGATCGTACCAAGCTCGGCTCCTTATTCCCGGCACCGGAGAGTGATCGGCCGCGAGCGAGAGTGGCGCAGATACGCCGAAGTCCCTCAGAGGTGAGTCACGACAAGGCCCGCGACCCGCGATGCATTGCGTCCCGAGGAGAAGCCGGTAGAGCTGAGGACAACCACCGACCTGGTATGAGGACCGGGCACACCCCAGAGAGGGTACGCTCAGACCCCATGAACTGGGAGACGCGAGCGAGGCTGAGCGACGTCGCCGTAACGGGAGACACGAACAAGGACGCCCGAGGGAATACCGGCCCACGACACCGAAGATAGGGAAGAGACGACCAGCGCTCGCCACAACACATCACGACCGGACCCGCGCCCCCCCCCGTCCTACCCCGCACCGAATGGGCCTGCCAGTTGCTCTCGTAACACTCTGTTATATGCCGCTTTGTATTAAGCTTTGTCTAGTTGTCCAGATTAGGTGCGGTCTCATTGATGATCGAGTTTAAATGTTTTGTAATGGCTCTCTAGTGATCGCCTATTTTTAGTCACATTCTATAATTTACGATGGAGCGTGCCATGTACATCTTTATGAGACTGTCTTGATCTGATTGCTTCTACTGGTTTCTTCTCGTACTGTTATTCATTACGCATTAACTGACTTTTCCTTGTAGCAGTGACTATTTTCTCTATAGATGTCCGATGCAGGCGGAACCTCAACCTCGGGGATTAGTGTCAAACTCTTCCGCTGTAACGTGTTTCTGGCGTTTTCGCCTTCACTCATAAATTTCCACTATCACCACCTGATTATTAAGGATTAATGTGAAGCAAAAGGGCGTTCTCCGGGCGGCCGCGACGCGATGCCACTGTGATGCGACGGGGCCCAGGATGTGGTTGCGGGCGAAAGCTGCGAATGTTCCGCGAGGCGCCTCGCGAGTGACCGCCTGGGCCCCGCACCGCCGCCGAGAAGTCAGCTTAGAGGTGACCACATGAGGGGGAAGGAGGCGAGGAAACCGGAGGAGGACCGCCAGAGAGATGAGCGAGCTCCCGAGTCCACCGGACCCGAGATGATCGGCAGGATGTGAAAGTGTGGAGGGATGACGCCCGCAGCCAGGACGCGACCGGAGGGCGAGGAGCGCACCCGAGGAGAGACACGAGGGGAGGGCCCCGACCCAGAATAACGCGGTCATAACCGCCCGTTGCGAAAGCGCTACGAAGCCACAGCCATTTCTTGTAATGGAGAAGGAAAGATTTCGTTACTCGAAATGCCTTTGCGGATGTCATTTCCATGCACTAAACCGACTGCATGCATGGGATTTCTTTTTTTTTTGCTAACTGCGTCTCAAGCTCCGTTACTGTTTTTCCTCATCTCCTATTCAAAAATTCCCGAGCAGTATCGTGCGACTATCCATCCCGCCGCGCCGAACTCCCCTCGCCCCCGGGGGACCGCCCCCGCCCAGGCAGCCCAACGGCCTTCTCAGTGGCCTTCGCGGTTTTCTCTTTCCTTATCGCATCGTGTCTCGTCATGGCCCTTCGCCCTCCCTCGGCCTCGTTACCGGGCAGCACATAGCGGTTCCCACCAGAGCGATAGGCCTACATCTCTCCCGACTAACCTGAGTATCATCCAGCCTCACACACAATAATCGAGCGTGTGGGCGGGCGGGCTGAAGGACAGGCTTTGGGGCATTCAATTGTGCCGGAATGACGGGTAAGGTCAAGCCAGCTGTTTCGGCAGGGCGGGCTGTGGCATCTCTGTCGCGTCAATCCTCAGTTCTGGACGAGGCCCAACATGCAGGAGAGAACATTTCCCCCGAGGGCTTTAAGTTGTGTGGCTTTTCTGGAACTTCGAACGAGTTGGGGGCGGCCAGAGTAGGTCAATGATGCAATAGAAACGGGCTGAACGGCGTAATGCATTTCAAAGAGCGAGAGGGCGGGTGTGAAATTCAAACGCCTACCTTCGCATTCATGGGACACGTTTTCTTGACGTTAATGTTAAATCAATATATACATTTGTGAAGACTGGTTAAGAAAGAAGGGAAAATGGAAGAAGGAAAACCTAGGAAATCCTCCGTTCGCGGCTCTCGGGCCGGCGCCGCCCGATGGCCAGCGAAATGCCTCAGCGCAACGTCGCTTTGCTCGCAATCCTCGCTGCGAAGCCTCGATAT